GTTTTTTGTAAAATTTTGATTTTGAGTATTTTTCCAGAAGGAAACCGGAAAGAGTTTTTTTCCTCATTCTACTTTAAAGGGCTCTGAAATTTGGCCATTTGCTATAATATATGCTTGCTGGGTTGAGAAGAGAGTATTGATGATATTGGTGAATTTTGGATCAAAGTTCATTTTTTGAGGACTATTTGTAGCTGGTCGAGTAGCAGAAGCCAGTGTTGCTTAGACTGGTTGGTCTGATTTCTTAGCACTGTTAAAATATCCAGGACAGTATCTGTTATGGATCTTTCTCTAATGAATGCTTGTTGTATGGGGCCAATAAGTTGATTACAAATTGGATTGATGCAATTAGCTATAATCTTCATAAAGATTTTAGCATCACTATTTACAAGTAAAATAGGCCTCTAGTTGTTGATATCCTCTAAGTTGTCTGATTTTTTTGGAATCAGAGTAATTATACTCTTGTTCCAAGAGTTAGGCATACTGCCTGAGTTAAGTACATGATTAAAGAGTTTTGCTAGAAAAGAAAGAAGTTCCTCTTTGGTGTCTTTGTAGAATTCATAAGTGAGACCATCTGATCCTGGTGTTTTGTTACAAGGCAGTATATCTATTATGCTGCTTATTTCTTTTTCTGTTTCAGATTGTTTGTAATTTGGAGTGCTGCTTCTCTCTTGATGTTCTCACTTCTGTAGAGATCTTGATATGAGTTTTTTATGTAGTTTATAGTTTGCTCCTGTGTAAGCTCATCCGTAGCATTTGGGTTCTTGATTTTAGTACTGCAGCTAATAATCATATTATAATCTTAACTTTCTATAATAAAGCTGTGTACTAGCAGACTCAAGCCTCTTTGCTTTATCTATATATATTAGATAAATTCTGGTATGTATATTATTTTTTGTAGCAGCAAGAAGTATAGTTAGACCTCTGGAAAGAAGCTCCAAAAGTATGTTATTACTGCGAACAAACAGGGTATATCAAAAAAGACTATAAAGATCTTAAAGCCTCAATCGAATTCAGACAAAGACTGAAAGAGTATAAAAACAAAGAGAACTTAAAACCGAGAGCCAGAGCCAAAACGAACCCAAAACACAAATGCAATTCAGTCCAGAAAACCCTTATGTTTCAGAAATAGTTCTAGAAAACACTGATAAGAGCTCCACAGAAACACAAAAAATACTCCAACCAGTAACAGAGACAACTGTGGCAGAGACAATCCAGACAGGAGAATTTAATCCTACAGAAGCAACAGCAGAAACAAATGAGATGGAAACAACTAAAAACAAACCAGAAGCTACAAATATATCTACAAATAATGATTTAGCAACAGACATG